AAGCAGTGGTATCAACGCAGGAGGTACTGTGAACCATGGCCCGGGCTGGCCCGGGGAAAGCCAACTAGTCCTTAATAAAACTAGATCGTGCGCGCTTGACTCCAACGTTAATCCTGGTTGCAGATAAGCCATTTTATCATTTCATGGTAGCGGGAAATTTTCAGAAAAAGCTTGCCACAACCTTCAATCACATAATTTTCCCACAATACTCTGCACTGTGCTCCTCCTAGCCCACTTGTCCGTTATACACCAAATTCCTAGTCATATCATTATGCGTGCGCTGTAAGAGAATGTAATTACAACCCAATGAAAGAAGTTTTGAATTTCTGGAGATAGCGAGAGAGCAAGGTTGTGTTTTTTGCATGTCAGTCGTGAGTACCAACTTGTCCATGTACAGGGAATGTACTATGGCACTGCTAAACATGTTTATAGCAGAAATTGGCGAACTCAGGACATCGACATTTGATGAACTGCTGTTTGTGAGCTGAGTTAAAGTGTAACCTGCATTATCCGTTTGTTTTGTCGAAAATATCTCTAGCAGTGCCATAGTGATTCTGTGTAAACTTTACAACGATTCCATCGACTCCCTAGAAAGAACCTTTCAAAACGGACAGAGAAGATTACAGATATCTACAGTAGCAAAATATGATGTGCGTCCCCTCTCAGACCCCCCCCCCCCCACCCCTCGGGATGTACGTGTTTACGGGCCTAAACCCAATGCAACACAAGAAGCTTTCAGAATATATCGCAGGGAAGGAATAGCTTTGCTTCATAGCCCCACGTCACCCCGCAGTCGTATGCAGTCGAGATTTATCCATAGCTAAAAATCGAGAAAACGGAACTCGCGTGTTTTTTCGAATCAGTTTTGAGCTTCTCCAAGAATTGGGAGTTCCTGCCACGCGGCCCTTTATTTGCTGCCAATTGTTCTGCACTTGACCTACAGCACAAACTGCACAGCACAAATCACACATGACCCTCACAAAATCTCTCAATGGAGGTGCAATAATTTTAACATCAATGTTTTCCTAATAGTACGCATAATTTCACCTCTACAAGATCTGCGACTCTCAAAACTGGATGCTATCATCATCTATGTTTGTTATTGTCAAACATTACCAAACTAGGTTTCTTTTTCTTGTGAGCACCATCTGTGAAAGTCCAATTTTTTTACCTAAATCATTCCATTATCAACTTTGTCGACCCTTGCATTGCTGGTAAAGCACATTATCAATGCCTCTCAAGCCTTACTGTGGTATAATACTACGTTTTTCTCCGTCAAACTACTTAAAAGTTCTGTTGTGCCCACCGTGAATTTTGCTGCTGTAGGAAGAAATAGAAAGAACCTACGCAAATAGTGTCAAATGAAACTACACACAATTGTTTAAGGTGGAATCAATTACTGGATATTTCTCAATAGAGGACGTTGATTGCGAAATGTACTTTTCTTCGGATTGGCAATCATTCACTCAATTTGCAACAGTCCGTTGTTCAAGCTTTTACCAAATATAGAAACTTTTGTGAAGGACGTTGTTCACACGTGCAATAGGTTTGTGATCGCTTCATTCCAGCTATTTTTTAACAAGATCCAAAAAGTCAGGCACATATGCAAACACGTGCAATGATGACACGCAGCTTGATAGCGTTTAGTGTAAGTTCCTATGGTCAAGCGATAGTTATCTGACTTTTAATTCTCAGATTCTGTTGGCTGTAGCGGCATCCGCTTCCCGATGTCGTCGGTGGTATAACCTTATGCTAAAAGAAGAGCTGACCCAGGTTGGTTCACTGTTTTTATACACATAGAGCATAACATACTCGGGTTTTGTGGTATTGATTGTGAGTACAATACCGCTCACAGAATGTGCAAAATTTCCATAAATGTCGCAGAATTCCGAGAATTCCGCGAAAGTTCGCGAAATTCCGGGAATTTTGCGACATTCCCGGAATTTCGCGACATTCCCGAAATTTCGCGAAATTCATGTAAATCACGCAAATTACGCAGGGCCATAACTTCGTTCCGAATGGGCATATTCAAAATCTGAAAACAGCATTGTATTCAGCTCGTCAAGGCGAATCTTTTGGTATACAGGTAGTCTCCAATATCCTCTTTTCAATAATCTTGAATCTGCATGCGGACGCCTTTTCGCGTGGGTGTAACGCAACAAGCATCACACATAGGAGATTGCGGCGGGCACCCTTCGATAGTACTCTTTCAGTAGATTATTCTGCGCTAAACAGCAGCCGAAGACTCTTTTTTAAAGGAGATAGAAGAGCTGATAAACTTTGGAAAAATTGAGCTGTTCCAAGTTCTACCAGCCGTAACTTCCTTCAAAATGAACATTTTCGGAATCCGAAAGCAGCTTTGTGTTCAGCTCGTCAAGGCAAATCTTCCAGTATACAGAATGTCCTCAAAATTCTGTTTCCAATTTTTTCAAAATTTTCTGCGCGCGTATATTCGCAAGGTCGCAACGCAGCGCACATCAAACATAAAAGACTCCAATAAGCACTATTGGATTGTGATGCTTCCGCAGATTACCTAGCGCTAAAAACGAACTGGAGAATCTTTTTCGAAAAAGATAGAAGAGCTGGTAAATTCTGGAAAAATCGTGTTGTGTCAAATTTTGCCCACTGTAACCCTAAAATGGGAAGCTCTACTGCTAAGCAGATGTGATTTTCGTAATCAGCAGGTCAGATAACCTCTATGAGCAAGTTTTCAAAGAAATTCGGGTGATTTGATTTTTTCTCGTTCTACGCCCTGAAGCTCGCCGATGGGTTTCGGTCAAAATGTCGATGATCTTGAATTATAAGGACTTCGCTCAAAGAGGTTATCTGACCTGCTGATTACGAAAAGCACATCTGCTTAGCAGGAGAGCTTCCCATTTTAGGGTTACAGTGGGCAAAATTTGACACAACACGATTTTTCCAGAATTTACCAGCTCTTCTATCTTTTTCGAAAATGATTCTCCAGTTCGTTTTTAGCGCTCGGTAATCTGCGGGAGCAGCACAATCCAAAAGTGCTTATTGGAGTCTTTTATGTTTGATGTGCGCTGCGTTGCGACCTTGCGAATATACGCGCGCAGAAAATTTTGAAAAAATTGGAAACAGAATTTTGAGGACATTCTGTATACTGGAAGATTTGCCTTGACGAGCTGAACACAAAGCTGCTTTCGGATTCCGAAAATGTTCATTATGAAGGAAGTTACGGCTAGTAGAACTTGGAACAGCTTGATTTTTCCAGAGTTTATCAGCTCTTCTATCTCCTTTAAAAAAGAGTCTTCGGCTGCTGTTTAGCGCAGAATAATCTACTGAAAGAGTACTATCGAAGGGTGCCCGCCGCAATCTTCTATGTGTGATGCTTGTTGCGTTACACCCACGCGAAAAGGCGTCCGCATGCAGATTCAAGATTATTGAAAAGAGGATATTGGAGACTACCTGTATACCAAAAGATTCGCCTTGACGAGCTGAATACAATGCTGTTTTCAGATTTTGAATATGCTCATTCGGAACGAAGTTATGGCCCTGCGTAATTTGCGTGATTTACATGAATTTCGCGAAATTCCGGGAATGTCGCAAAATTCCCGGAATTTCGCGAACTTTCGCGGAATTCTCGGAATTCTGCGACATTTACGGAAATTTTGCACATTCTGTGAGCGGTATTGTAGAGTGATACCCAGGTGAAAATTTATTGTAAGTTGTGGGTACAATCTTCATATCTACTCTAAGGCAGCTCTGACTGTCTACGATTCCCGGCATAAGCGCAGACAGAAGCATCGACTTAAACATAAATTGAACGGAAGGTATGTTTTTTGCTACCTATAAGACAGTTGAGAGATGGCGGCTTGCACGGCGTTTTTCGTTGAGTACAAAGAAGTGCTTTGAATGAGGCTTTACAAGCAACGTTTTAATTGATGATTCGCTTAGCTTATAAGTGGTTAATGCTTTACCTGCTGCTTGGCCCTACAGATTTGTCAATTACAGTTGTATCGATGTTCACCTCCATGCCATCAGAAGACACCTTGCGTTCCTTGGAGCATTTATCGAAGACTTCAGCAAAACTAAGGTAAGCAAGCTTCCTTAGGTAATACGCAAGCATCATTCATGTAGTAGTTAAAAAATCATATAGTATTGGTGAAAATACTAAGCACAAAAAACTGTTCCGTTACAAAGGGTCTTAATTTTTGTCTCTCTCAGAATAAGGGTCTTTTGTGAGTGGACAGCCTTGTACATTATATCCATTATACGAAATGCAGATCGGTGTCTTTCTCAGAACTTTTGACCTCTTCTATAATCACTTCACATCCGTAATAGTGCTGGAAGCATATTCGAATGGTTTTTGCAGAGCTTCGAAGCAATTCCTAGTGGATATCATTTTTTTTCAGAATATAAGGGTGGAGAAGAAGATTGGCATTTTCTGCTGTCACAAACCAGAAAGGACCACCTGCTACTA